TTTTTTTTTTACACCAATGTACAATGTATTGTGCTTTATAACTAAATTTTTTTTTTCATATTATACTAAACTTAAAAAGAAATGTAATTGATATTTTATTTTGTTAACTATTGTATTCTTAAATTATAAATAGTTAAAAGTAGGTGTTTAAAAAAAAATAATGTATTTTTTTGAAAGGAATATAATTAAGTAAATATTAATTCATTTAAACATAATCTTGTAATTTTTTTCCCTATGATATGATTCTGMTAACTGCTGCATATACAATAGACTATGATTTGACAATATATAGATTATACATACATAATAAATATTAAAATATTATAATTTATAAAATATGTGATTTACAAATACGATTTACACTATTATTAAGAGAATGCCACCCATGTTGATGTCTCCAATTTAAACTGTATGACATGACACATTTTCAACCACTAGTTTCAATAGTGTGCTGTTTGTTTTAATGTTAGARTGAATTGACCTATTATCAAACTTTTGAGCAAGAAAATTATTGAAACCAGTAAAAGAAAATTTGTTGTATCATACGAGTGTAAGTTGGAAACTACTGATGCATGGGTACTATCCAGTGGGTAGCTTCCACTTATGTTTTATTATAATAGGCATTAATAATTTAAAATATTGATAAGTTATACTGGATAATATTCAAATAATAAAGAGATAATAAATTATACATACAATATATATAATAGGCATTTGAATACTAAATTAAACAATAACATATAAACTTAATTTAACAAAAACTTGCTTTATGAACTTTAGTATAAATAAATTGTCACCCACTGGAAATAATTATCTTAAGGCGTACCTCATAAATTGTAATGAATTTAATAAAAATACAGTGTCTGCTATTAGTAATTTCAGTAAGTGTAATTGCACTTCTATTTCTTCAGTACAACAAGTTTAATATCTAGGTATAGATGCTTACMTTAAATAGCAAAATAATATTATAAATACTGGAAGATCAGACTATTGTTATATTATGCTAAAACTCTTAGCAACATATTATCACCAACCACAATGAGAATGGTTTTCATAGCTATGGCCCAGTCAATTTTTTCATATGGTATTGCAAGTTGGGGTGGTGTCTACAATATCTAAATGCACTTGAAACCACTATAAATTCTCTTATTAAAATATCTTTTAAAAAACCCTATAGGATGAGCAATGTATTGTTATTTAAAGACTGTAATCTATTAAATTTAACTCAATTATATGTATGAGGTATATAATCGAATATGTTTTTYCTTGATATTCAAAAATTTAAATAAACATAACCACTGAACAAGAGCGAAACAAACCAATATGTATTTAATTCCTATGTGTAGAACGGAATTTGGAAAAGGAAACCCCTTGAATGCTGGAATTAAATATTGATGTTGGTTTGTTTAAAATCTTTAGATTATATGAAAAAATGGTAAATGAAAAAATTAAATTACCAGCATAGATAAATTTGATTATATCTGTATTCCCGTCAAATTTTTATATTTATTCTGTAATTCAAAAAATATTTAAAAATTTATATTTATGATAAACTTATAATCACAAAATCAACTACATTAACTAAAATCAACTTATAATGTGTTAATTTAATTATAATTAATTATTTTAGTAAATGTATGAGATATTTTAAGAACCTTGTCTCCACAATAAGCCTAGCTTTCCGAGACAATCATTATGTATAATGCCATTTTATAATAAATATAAACATTTGTATAAATTTACATGTATATGTATACATTTCTATTTTTGAAACGAAAATAAATAAATAATAATAATATCAGGAGTATGAAGTCAATATCTTAAATATTTAATAGAAATATAATATTTGCTGTAATAACTTCTTCAGAAATAATAGATAACATTAAATTATTTTTCATATTCAAATTATAGAAATGCTGATAGTACAAAAAAGATTAACCGATTGTTTCTAAAAAGCGATTGATTTATACATGTATTAATATGGTATATAAGGCCAGGATGTCCGAGGACAATTTATTTCAATAACGCAATTGTATCAAACATCCGTGTTTCTAATAAGTGGCTCATAGGTGCAAATCACCCAAAAACATTAGATGGGCTTAAGCACCAACAATGTTTGAGGAAACAGATCAAATTTCCCGTTAATATCATAATTTCACAACAAATTATTATGATATTATATTATATAATATGTTTTATATGTCATTGCAGTTTAATATATCCAGACGTAAACTTGACATATTATATTATAAATATAAAACTGTTTTTTAATTTTAGATTCTGAGCGGAGCGATGAATGTATTGAATTTACCATGATGTGTGTGTKTTTTTTTTTGTCTGTCATCACGTTTTGRRGCAGTAAAAGTGCTTCGATTTTTTACTTCAGTGCCTCGTTCGATCGGAAAGTGAATCTAGTTGGTACTTTGGGGGTCAAAAATGAAAAATTCTTTTCTAAACAATCGAGAAAAACAAAC